ATGAGAATAAAGTCGTAACATTACGAGAATAACGTAACATTACGAGAATAAAGTCGTAATAATATGAGAATAAAGTCGTAACCTTACGAGAATAACGTAACATTACGAGAATAAAGTCGTAATAATATGAGAATAAAGTTGTAAAATAACGAGAATGAAGTCCTCATACCACAACCTGTTTCAGAAAGAAAGCTTCGAACTCCGACCACCCTATAACGGTTGACCAGCACCACCAATCAGCAACCTGAGTCCACTTTGACATCCTGCCCAATTTGATGCTGGTGTTAAAAGATTTCCTGATTTGTCAAGCCAATGCCAAAGTATATCTTCACACGATGCTCAACATTCCTCATTTTAGGGAAGAAGTGCTTCTTGTAAGAGTCGTCATAAAATATAACTTTATTCTCGTAATATTACGACTTTATTCTCTTAATGTTACGACTTTTTTCTCATAATGTTATGAGTTTATTTTCATAACTGAATGACTTTATTCTTGTAATGTTATTACTTTATTTTTGTAATTTTACGACTTTATTGTCTAAATAAATAAATCTCTAGCCTGGCCCTAATACTCCCTCGTAAGAAAGCAAAGCTGGTGAGTGGGACAAATACGTATGTTGTTGTGAACCTGCAGGACTCTTAGCTTTGGGGCTAGAGTGTTAAGCAGTTCTAGTTAGCTGATTTGCTCAAGTGTGGATAACTGGTATTTAAGGTTTAAAATTTGTTTGCCTTCTGAAGTTTCTGCTGCAGGGAGCGGTGTTGTTCCTTACCAAGATAAGGGAAGATTTTTGGTTGAGATTTTGTTAGAAATATACTATAAAATGAATTAAAGTGATTCTCATTTGTCATCTGGTATGAAGGTAAGATTCTCTATAAATAGTTGGTCCTTCCAACAACAACATCTTAATCAAGTGTTTCTTGCGTCAATTTCAAACCTAAAAATAAGGAGTGGAACTATTTCTGCAATGTGTTTACTTCCTGATTTAGAAACCAATCATATTAGAAGCAGAATCATGGCAGCCAATAGGATTGGCTGAATGGTCTTCTCTCATCAGTTTGAATTTAGTTGTGTTTGTCCTCGTCTCTTTTTAATTTTACTACCTGAATTGAGGAAGTCTGCTTTTGTTTGTTAAAGTCTGGTTTTCTGCTAGTTTGACAAAAAACAACCCTTAAAAACAAATCACATTATTTGTTCTGAAGAGCTTGCATATTAGTAGAAGGTTTTTCCATGGTTTAGAGTAACATGATTCTTTGTGATTCCTGCAGGGATGTGTCATCGGTGGAGGTGCTGATGAATTATCACCAAAGCCTTAAGAGCGAAGTGGAGGCCCGCAGCCAGAGCACCCTGGAGTGTATCGAAATGGGAAAAATGCTGCTGGCTGCTAGAAACCCTGCTGCCGAGGAGGTGAGATGATGTCTGGTATAACAGGCAGGCATCATTATCAGGGGTTGTGTTAACCAAAATATTGATGATATTTGTTTTTTTGTTTTTTTTAAAGATAAAGGAAAAAACTAAAAGCCATCTGTCATTGTGACACAGCAATTCACATCATCACCACTAGGAGGTGTTTAGTTTAGATATTTTAGTAACTGTCATTATAAAAAAGAGGTGATTTGTAAAAATATATCATGTGTAGTGCCACCTCTGATCAGTATGGACCAATCGATTAATGCACTACTGTAAAACACAATGGGGAAATTTGTATGTCTGTCAAGGCTCAGTGTAAAGTTGAACAAAATGTTGAAAATAGCATAAGTTAGAAAAAAGACATATACAGAATAGCAGGTAACCTCAAGAAAAGTGCATAACACGTTTCTATAATTATTCATTAAGACACCAACAGACTTATTACAAGGATGTAAAAAAAAACTCAACAGCTGCTGGAAGGATCTGTAATTATGCTCCTTTTTTCGCTCAGGATGCAGCTACTGTGGGAACTTTCAAATCAGATGTTTGATATTTGGTCAAGATTATCATTATGAGGCTTATTTCAGACTTTGTTCTGTCACAAAATAAGACATTTTTATGAAAAAGGCTTTTTTAACATAATTTTTAACATGATTTCACTAACTTCTTTGTTAGTATAATTTCAGTTGATAAAACAAAGTGCACAAAAAACAAAACAAAAAACACATGGAAATTATTCCCACATTAACAAAACTCTTTACTGGATTTCTATTGAAAATTTTCCTGAATACTTTCATTTGTGAACTTTTTTCAGCTTTTTCTTTTTAATAAAAAGCTTTAAATTACTGTATATACCAAATAAACCAGATCTCTACATATAGAGTAGGTAAAAAAAAAAAAGAAAAAAAGGAAAATTAACAGTTTTATACTGTCTGAAATTAAAGGAAATTTAACTTTTCATTTTTAGCCATCAAGGATGATAAAACTTATTTTATCCCTGCTTTTCACCCATAGACCCAAAACATGCTGTACTTTAGTGCAAATACCTTTTTGGCTCTTGTGAGCCAGATAAACTGCTGTGATGGGTTGGATTTTGCCCGTGGGTTTTGAGTTCGACACATAGTTTTAACTAATAAAGGTCCAGATAGTGGTTCTAAATTCTCCTCCGGATATCTTTCCAGATTTCTTTTGATTTTCACCTGAAATTATAGGATATATAAACTTTTGTATTTGAAGATTATAAATTTGGATTCAATGCTAGTAATCTAAGCTGACCTCAAACAGGAAAAGTGGTGGAAAAAAGTGATGTCTGTTAGAATCCCAATGGTCTGTTTCTAGATTTTCCCTTCATTCATTTGACGGTTACAACCTGTGATGTTCTAATTATGAAGTTGCTGGTTTTTAATCTCAGATCAAAGAAAAGCTGGAAAAGGTGATTTCCAAGCAGCGGGAGCTTTTGGAGAAGTGGGACAAGCACTGGGAGGTTCTACAGCAATGTGAGTGCACACAAATCTTTGGTGGGTAAATGGAGAAATGACCATGTTCTTTTTCGTAAATATTGATCCTGTTTTTTCTATTCTCCCGTTAGTGTTGGAGGTCCATCAGTTTGCCCAGGAGGCGATGGTGGCGGAGGCCTGGCTGACCGCTCAGGAGCCGCTGATCAATAGCAAGGAGCTGGGAGGGAGCGTGGACGAGGTGGAGCAGCTCATACGTCGACATGAAGCCTTTAGGAAAGCAGCCGCCACCTGGGAGGAGAGATTCAGCTCCCTGCGACGCCTCACTACGGTAATATCTGTTATCGACACCATGTTGTTCCAAACTACTTAGACCATTTGGCAGGAGCTGATGCAAACAGGAGAGAAGACGTCCAGAGGAAGGTGACCGCAGGTTTTATGTTGTAGGAGTCATTTATTACCTTTTAATGTGGCCAATAACCAGCACAAATCAACTAAAGAAAGAAGCAAATAAGCTAGCAGTAAAACCTTGAAACTAAATATAATAAACTGGCTGCACACTTAAAGAAATGCTTAGCTGAACAGCTTCTTATTTGATTTTTGCATTAAGTCCTCTAGATTTCACACCTGTTACCAAATATATTGTATCTAAGAAGCCTGAAATAAAGCCCTCTAATAGGGGTTTCCTCATATTTCCTACTCAAACGCTTTGCAGTGAATTTACAAAAGATTAAAAAATCTGCAAACGTTTCAGTCACGATTTGGTCCTTATATACTGTCAGGAAACAGAGAGCAGCAGAGATTCTGAGTGGGTCAGAGGAATTACCAAAAGGCAGTGATCATATTCTACTAATGAAAAACATTCCTGTGTTCTTCTAAATGTCTCAATCTGTGCAGGAAAGAAGACTTTTCTTCTAAACATCTAAGTCTGACTAACATTTAACCACTTGGAGCGTCCTGGTGGACCCCTTTAACAGAGGTGTAATGGAAGTTTTGCTCTCCTAGCAGCCTTCCACCTGTAACCCACTCATCAGCCTCTGGTTTCCCCCCATATTCTTTTCAATCAGTAACAAAAACCAGTGTAGAGAAGCTACTCAAACTGGAAACTTATTGATCTGCTATTGACTCGATGCTTTCAGAAAATGCTTTGAAAAGCTACTAACTAAAAATTACTCTATTAATTATATTTCCCAACTGGTATGCTGTCCCAGGTCTTGAAATCTGCTCAAAGGACCATTTCAGCAAAAGCCATAATGCTCAACTTGTGAAAGTAAAAATGTTGGGCCTCCAAGAAAACAACTCTTAGTTGCTATGCAAAAAAATAAAATAAAATACTACAGACCTTTCTCCATTTTTGCCCTTTTCACAAAATTTTGAGGAAGCCTTGTTCATTATGTCTACTAATAGTTGCATCTCTGCTGCTCTTAACGTACTCAATGTAGAGATGGCTTTTATCGATTGATTAAAAATTGACTGTTTTGAAGATTCATTTATAGGAAAATGTTCCAAGCTCTAAATCAATGATAATTTCTGCCACTTCCAACAAAGAGAAGCTACAAGTTGGGTGGATTTATGGATGTGATAAAGGTTTTTAACCATGGAACACTGAATATTTCAAAATATGTATGGGTCATAAAGCAGTGTCTGGATTGTCTACACCAGAGGTCGCGGATTATTGAACCGCGGTCCAGATCCGGACCATCCTGCTGGCTAATCTATACGAAACCTGATTTAAAACATTTATAAATTACCGCATGTTGTCAGACGACCGTGTCTTACTTCACTTGCGCCGCTTCTCCTGTTAATACGGTAAAGCCATCCGAAGCGTCCAGCACCAGGCTCTACGTGATACAAATTAGCCAATGAGCTGCTGTCAGTCTGGGTTGCTGCTGCTGCTACTTTTAGACACAGCAGGCAAACCTGTGGCAAGCCGGGCAATTGGAAAGAAGGAGAAGATGATGAGAAAAAGAAAGAGGAAGGGTGGACTACTGGAAGAACTGCAGTGAGCTAGTGAGAGAAAAGTGAAATGGTGCTCAAAGATGACCCTGCACATTTTGAGTATGTTTGGCTCAACCTGCTGCTGTGAAGCAGGATTCTCCACCATGAACAGAAATAAATATGGATCCAGGCTCACGAATAAACACCTTGATATGTGCTTTAGAATGGCTTTGTCTCCATTTAAACCCAGGTTTAAAGCCTTGCAGGGCAGCATAGAGTCCACTGCTCTCATTAAGCCATTAAAAAAAAACAAAAAACTAACGGTTGGTTCAGATGTTTTATAAAATATGTGAATTAAGAAATTGTCTATATACCAAACTGAACGATTGTTCTTCTATACTTCAAAAAACACTTTAGATTTTTTTTTTTAGATTTTCTTATTTAAGAATTCAATGTATAACATGGAGGCATAAAAACCTCATTGTATTTCAGTGTTAAATTTTGTTTCAAGTAACAGATTGTAATTAAAAATGTCTCCGGACCTTTACTGGTTGATGATTATCTTTATTCAGACCCCACTCATGTTTAATTGGTTCCCCCTGGTCTATGGAGTGGGGGTGTAGGGTCTCCTCTCTGATCCCTTACCTAAACCATAGATGTTCCTCAAGGAAGCAAATTATACTAGTTTTCAATATTAATGACAATTGTTTCCATGTACTCTTTTATGCTGATGACACTAATTTCTACTCTGAACATTATATACTGCATTTTTAATGTTAAATTGTAAATAACTTTATGATTTACATAAATTATGTTTACTTACTTACTTACTAAAAATATTTATTTTCCCTCTTGCAGGTGGAAAAGCTGAAAGCAGAACAGAGCAAATTGCCCCCAACACCCCTTCTGGGGCGTAAAGTCTTCCTGGACCCACAAGATGCATCATCTGTTCCAACAACCCTCCCCCGCCTTCCAGTCTCCCCCGTCATGAGACAGACCATCTATGAGCAGAATGAGGCCAGCTCTCCTCCATCTCCTTCGCCTGCCACCCCAACGCCCTCCCCATCAGCTGCGGCTCGCCGGCTGGGGTCCACGGTCGCCAACTACACCCCCGTGATGAACGGATCCAGCTACAGACACACCCTGGAGGCGCGGCACGGTGGAGTGGTGGGTGTGGCAGCTGGACTAGGTCAGCCAGCTCCCTCGTCGATTGCATCTGTTGCCACGGCGGCAATGTTGGTGTCGGCAAATCAGATGCGAGAAAGTACCAGCACTGCAAAAGATCAGGCCACCAAAACCATGAGTTACTTACAGCCGGGGCAGGCGGGAAAGGAGCTTGAGGTGAAATCCTTGCCGTATCTACGGCAACCCAAAATCAAACACTTGGACGATGCTGTGACGCCTTTGATTGTGGCTAGCCGACTGGAGAGAGGCAGAGAGAGGGGTAGAGAACGGGAAAGAGGGGGGGGAATGGCAACAGAGCGAGCAGAGGTGGCGGTGATGGCTGAGGTGGTGCTCCAGGAGCCGGGTCGAGAGCGTCTGCACAGCGAGCCCACCCGGGGGCCACGGGGATCCAGGACCGACCCCCTGGGTCACGCAGAACCCCAGGTCCAGACGTATCAGCGGCAGCTCTCCAGTGAGCAGCTGATCCAGGCACGCAGAGATGAGCTACCTCAGGAGGTGTGGAGAGAACAAGCAGAGAGGAGGCGGACGCTGGAGAGGCAAACCTCCAGTGAGCAGGAGGGCCATGACGGCCGGCGGAGAGAAAGGGACCGGCACCGAGGGGAGAGACAGGAGTCCAGTGACGACATGGGCAGAGAACAATCAGACAGGCGCTCTACAGGAGGGTGAGGCTTATCTTTTCAGTTATGCATCAAAGTGTGTGACTTGTTGAGAAAAAAAAGTTTGATCTATTATCATAACTTTTGTTTTCTATAGAGAGAAGAGAACCACCATGGCAGAGATAGTAGAGCAGCTTCAAGAAAGAGAAGCAGCACAGGTGTGGACTTAAAGCGCAGCTGTGTTTGTTTGTTGTCGTTGTTGTTTGGCTGCCTTCTTCTGGTTCTTTAATACTTCATAGATAAGTCCTCCAACCTTTTCAGGCATACTAACTAGAGCGGAGGTCTTCAACAGGGGGTCCGCGACCCTTAGGGGGTCCACAGAGGTACTGCATGGGGTTCGCTAAAGTTTTGGTTGAAACAACTTTTTTTTATATTCCCCCTGCAATTTTTTTCCCACTAATTGAACTGTCTTTAAATCCACATTAGCATGAATTCAACACACTGTAGTAAACAGATAAATGGAGGCAGAAGATGTCTTTCAATCATCAATGCACACATTCAGTGACACACAGGAGATCTTTCAAGCTGGGCACCGTTTTGAGGGCCTTTTCTATAGGACCAGTTTGATATAACACAATTTCATACAATATATATAATTAGGGGGTCCCTGCTTCATCTTGCCATCAGTTTGGGGGTCCTTGGCCTGGTAGAGATTGACCGACATCAGTCTAGCTGATTCCCAATATGTGCTGTCGATTTCTTTAGGCTGACATTCCTGTTTGTTCCTCCATCACTTTTTTATTTTCATTCGATTTACGTTTTTTTTTCCAAACCCCCTATTTTTTACCCTCCCAAAAAAATCCCCCGCACTTGCCTCATGCCGGAAATCTGCCACTACGGCGGTTAACTTTTTTTTTCACTTCCAAAGAACAGATGATCTCATTCCTTTTTTGAGAACAAATGTCTCACTCACCTGTAGTTACGATGTCTTTTGCTGTTTCGTGTGACGCTGTCACTTGCCAAACTGCAACCTGAGAGTAAAACAGCAGCTACAGGAACTCCGGGGAGCCAAAATGCTCCGTTATTAAAAAGAAAAATCAATTAGATTTTTTTAAATCTTCTGCAACAAAAAGTTTACACAGGCCTACTATGACAACAAATTTTACAAAATATGGAAGAGGATTAGGGCCACAGATACATATTACATACTTTACATATTATTGTGTATAATATGAGAAAAAAGTCAGGATTCTGACTTTAATCTCAGAATTCTGACTTTTTTCTGAGAAATCTGACTAAATTCTGACAGCTAACAAGTATGTTAGCATCACTTTTTTTTTTTTCAGTGGCCCTAATCGTCTTCCATACAAGTCACAATTTAAACTAAAAGAAAAATTTATTAACAAGTTAAAGGAAAAAGCAACAATGGATAAGAAATAAAGTGGCCGAAAATGCATGTGCTTTGTGTGATCGCAAAGCATGGCTGCTGAATGCATTAATGAGACAAATGCCTGCAAATATCTGCCAAGCAGATACAAGAAAAAACATTAATATCAGCCCAAAATATCAGCAGGTGTATTGGTCTCTCTGATATTAACAGCTAGCCATTTTTGGAAAGTTTAAATCTAGAATTTTCTACACAAAACGTCATTTCTGATCACAATGGTTCTTTAAAACTCCTTTATAGTCATAATTCATTATGACTATAAAGGAGTTTTACTTTATAGTCAGTTTTACTTAAGTATTGTAATGTATTGTAAAGGAAAGATCTGTTGTTGTTTTTTTTATAACAAAAAAAAGTTAGAACTGTAAATTTACAGTCATATGTTTATATTACTGTTTTTTCATATCTTTTTTTTCAAGGCTACACTTTTAAAAAGATGAAATTGTCCAGAGAGCTGTTCCAAACGAAATTTCTTTTTGTTTTACACTTGTGTAAACACATTTGTGTAAACAAAATGACAAATAAAATTTGTCTAAGTCTAATTTTTAATATGTTTAATCCATTTAATCTAATGCAGTTTGTTTTTATTTTATTTCTCTGTCACATAACCCTGCAGGGGTTATGTGACAGGGGTTATGTTTACATCCATTTGACCAAAAAAATGTACAGTATGTTATAAAAACTGATAATTTTTCAATTTAGGCAGACTTTAGAAAAAAAGTATATTTTACGTCTATATTAATAACAGAGAAATCGGAATCTAGCTTTACAAAAATCTGTGATTGAAAATTAGCCACAAAAGCTGCAATCTGTGCATCTCTAACAACTTTGGCTAATCTGTTTCACCTATTACCTCAAGAATATTTCAACTGCTTCCCTTTTTAGCATTTAGACTATAAGTTTAAGGTTTATTTTTTTTGTAAAGCTTTATTCCAAATTCCAACAGCAGAGGAGACTGTCAAAAGAAAAACCTTCATAAAGCATCAAGAGATCAGGACCTTTTTTTGACATCAGACAACATCTACTTTCATGCATGAATCTTAAGCCACTGGGAATTTTTTACAGTAGTTTCAAATAGTTGCATTAAAATCGACCAAATTCAACAAACAGCCCACCTTCGTTTCTCTCAGGCTCGTGGCGAGGTTCCCCGCCTGCCCAACGGTATACCAGAAAAGTCTTCCCGTCTTGACCGGCCCAGAGCCAGGGACAGACCCAAACCAAGACGAAGGCCTCGTCCCAAAGAGCCAGGAGAGACAACGCGGAGGTCCAGATCTGCTCCAGCTCAGAGCAGCCAGACGGCCCCCCAACCACCAACCCATACAGCACACCATGAGGGCTTCCTTTTCCGCAAGCTGGACATCGAGAGCATGAAGAAAAGCACCAATAGGTGGGTCTTCAGAGTCATAAACAAGAGTAACTAGTGGAGGTTTCATAGACAGTGGATGCACCCTGGTGTCATGAGGATCCAAATTAAGGAATTCTGATGACTAAATTATGAAGTAATTTCATAAAAAGTTTCCTCATTCATTTTTTTAACCATCTGGTTGACAATCAGAAATATTGTTACTATATTCTTGAATACATCCCTGTTGTGTTTATTGAATGATCAATGGCAACCGGGCGCAAGTTAAGCATGCAGAGTTACGACTGCAACTGCATCTGATTTGTTTGGACGATGCATGACGGACACTGACTCAGCTGACATGTGGTCCTTACAGGCTGCAAGCAAATCAAGCACGCTGTAGTGCTGGTCAGTTGATGATATTAGCTTTTTACTGTAACCCTAACCGGCTTTCTCTTCTCCACTACAACCAGGCTTCAAACTGGTTTAGTAGATCCATGATAAAGTAGATATGCAAGGTTTTTAATCTGTCTTTCAGTGTTTCTGCCTTTCAGTCCTAAATATGCAACTACAGCACCCTCAAAACATATCTTAGCCATGATTAAGAAAAATGTGCAAAAACTATTAAAATAGTCAAATCTCTCATAAGACATTGTGAGAATAATCAGCCCACAGCATCACAGATCCTTCACCATGGCGAACAGCAGGCATAAGTTGATTTTTTAGAAAGTCCTCCTTTGTTTGACATCACATCCAGAAGCCCTGTCTGTTGCAAAAAAGCATTAGCTCAGTCTCATATTAACAAAATACACAATTCAAGTTAAATTTCCAATATTAAACCTCACATGTTAGTGTTCATAAAATTAGGGCATAAAATGCTTCTTGTTTACTTTGCTTCCCTCCCAAATAAACAGTTGTTATTTTGATGGTGTCCAACAGTTTTGAATCAAACTTAACAAACCAAAGATACCACTGGTGACTGTAGTTCTCTAACCCCTCTTACCATCCTCCTCTCTCTGCATGAAAGCATCATGGACATGCAGTAGGCTCTCACCCAACCTTGTTTGGGGCATTTCTAATTGTTAGAAATATCTAAATTATGTCCGACATGTAAACATATTTTGCAAATAGGTTATTTCTTTTGCAGTTGTTTTCTGGCCTATGAACATTAATATCCACCTGTCTACTCTAATTAAACAATATTTTTTATTGTTTTATCCAGTTTGATGGGTGGATTTTTAAAATAAAAACTCCTTTTGTCTCAATTTACTAAAAATAAAACAACTAAAAGTTTGAAGCACTCAGATGAGCAATAATAAATTATATGAAAAAAACATTATTTTTTTTTACCCTTATTTTAAATAAATTGTTTGGAGGATCAATAATTATTAAATTGGTGAGTGTATAAGAAAAATAAATACATATTATATCTGAACATTAGATTTTATGCTCTGCTCTACCTTCTTTATTTCTTCAGTACGAAAATTTACTGCTCACCAGGCGTAGTAATATTTGCCAAGGGTGCTGTAGTTTTTGTCTTGTATATTTTTCTACAAGTATGTTAATATTTAATACATCTTCTTTTTATGTACAAAATGTGAGGACAACAGTTACATGAATTAACAAGAGCCTGAAAAAGCCCCACAGCACGATAAACCGCCCTTGCATGATGCTTACTCTGCTTCCTGAATCAAAAGCACAGCTGAGGCGGGTGGTTTACTCACAGACTAACTGGCTGGATGAAGAATGCTGTGAGAGTGGATCGATCTGCTGGCCATGCACACAAACCCCCACACACACACACATTTACACCTCCTGACCATCCACAGGCGACCTCCCTCCTTCCTCCATAGGGACACCAGGGACAATGCCTTTCTTTTTCTCTCTCTCTCCACTGCCCCCTCCCCCCGGTGGCTGACCTGATCACGCACAGCCAAAAGCTCATCCAGTTCCAGCAGTGGATGAGACCCACTCATGCGCCCACTCAAGGCAGTGGATGAATGTGATCATATGTACATGCCCTGTAATGTACATAGTAAGGTAAAGCAAAACTGTGAACGGCTTGAATCCAGTGTGAAGCTGCTAACGGCTCCTCGTGGGGCTCATTGAAGCCACCCACCGTCAAGGCGAGCATTGAGATTCAACCCGTCACTGTTACATCACCACTCTACAAATTATTATTTTCTTTTTCTGTGCATATTAACATTCTGATGAAACAAACAAAAGATTATTTTTTGGACAAAATGCTTGTAAAATATTTTTTGTGAGAAAAAAGGTAAACATGGCAGGACAGAATAAAGATTTACAATTATTTATCCTCAAGTGTAAAATAGAAAACAAATAAAAGACATTAAAAAAAAGCTCTTTTAGAAAGTAAGTGCACCCTTTTATTTCATAGCTCATACAAATTCCCAGTAACTGCTAAAACTGCAGAGTTCTCGTCAAATTACAACAAACCTGAACTTTGACTAGGCCATTGCAGCACTTTCATTCCTTTTTAGCTGCTCTGTTGTAGAATTGCTGCTGCGTTTCTGGGATCATAAACCTGTTGATGATCCATTTTGGCCCAAGCTTCAAACCCATGTTGTCACATTTGACCTTAGAAAGCTTTGGTAAACAGAAGAACCAATCAGTGATGGCATTGAGCCCAGGTCATAATGCAACAAACCCAAGTTATCAGCTCTTCACAGCTGATAAACATGGTTCCTGTTTGTTGCATCCAAACACCTCTATTTTGGTCCATTCTATTCCATACTGTATGTCCATTGGTTCTATCGGATGCTCCTTTGCATCTCTAATCTTTCCTACTTGTTCTCTTTAAAACAGAGGCTTTCTAGCTCCTAAATAAGCCAGTTTTTGTCTAACTGTTCTGTAATAAGAAGCTATTTGAGGATAATTTTGATGGAACGTTCAGTGATTGTAGCATGATGGAAGTTTATTCCATTTCCCAAATTAATGACCGCTTGTCCAAGGTCATTCCCGATGTCTTTTCATCTCATTTTATTATGGTTATTACACTGATGATCATCAGTTAATCAACTGCATTGAATTAGCAGCACTGGGACGCCTTTTCTTCTGAAGTGCTGTATAAACTGTGAGGGTGTACTTAGTTTTTTAAAGACTTCTTGTCAGTTTTAGCTTTATTTTTCATGATCATCAAATCTTTTATTAATTGCAGCCATACTGTTATAGATATTGGGACCTAGACTGTCACATATGTTGTAGGTTTCTGTCCACTTGATTCTCTGTGACTTATTTTAAGGTCTTTTCTATCAGGATGTTAAGCTGTACACTGAATCTACATCAAATACTGTGCACACGTCTATGGCACTAAAGACTCTGTGGTTTGGTTACAGATTTATAGCGCATAATTATTTCTTTATATGTTTAAAAGAGGGCAGCTTTGGAAATAGTTATTTAATCTTGAACAAAATCCGTGAGGTTCATTGTCACTTGAAATGAATGACTAAAGTTGTGTTTGTTTATCAATTTTCTTCATTTTATCTTGTCAAACAGACCGACTCTGCTTCTGCAGATCTTTATTTATAGATCTGGTTGTTTGGCTTTAATCAGGCGTCTCATTGGTGGAATCAGAGCCAATATCTGACATGCCTGAGACCTTTGCACAGTACTTCCCCCTTTTTACTGATATGCTTCATGCATGTGGTCACTTTAACTGATGTATCGTTGCCTTATTGCAAAAAATGACATTTAACCAAACGCTTCTCCTCTTTTTTGTCTCTTTCACGCTGTGCTTCCGGCTGTCCCTCTGTTCTCCTCTAAGGTAAGTCATACTTAGGCGTCACACAGGAACAGACAAGCCGCACGTAGACACCCCTCCCCAATCCCTCCATCCCGCCATCCCGCCATCCCCACCTCCTCCATCCGTGTTCGTCCGTTCATTTGTGTTTGTTCAGCAGTGTATATCCTCCTCCCTTCTTGGGGCTGGTCCATCCCGCCTACCTACCTGTCTGCTCTGGTCAGGTGAGTCAGGTGTTAGCCTAGCAACAGAGACTCTGCAGCTCTTCCTGACTCCCCCCAATCTCCCCTCCCACCTTCCCCTTCCTCCCCTTTTCCCCTTTCCTCCTCACTTTCCACCTTACCCTCCCCTCCTCCCCCACCAACCCACCCTGCCCCACCCCTTGCCCGCACCACAGCAGGTCTTGGGTCAACCTTTACTGCGTGCTGAACAAAGGGGAGCTGGGTTTCTACAAGGATGCCAAGAACACTACCACGTCCTACAACAACGAGCCCCTGCTCAACCTCTCCCACTGCCACTGCGACGTCACCAACGGCTACAAGAAGAAGAAGAACGTCTTCACTCTGAAGTGAGGGGACGATTTCCTGGTTTCTCTATTATTTTAATGCAGCATTTTTGCGTTGCTCGCCGACTTGAAAATCAGCAAATGAAGCCTAAGGCCTTAATTTTCTAAGATTATTCTGATATATTTACATTCAGGACATCTTGTTTATGCTGATGTTGTTCTTCAACCGCGTTTTCATTGATCTTGCAGCATTTTTAGAGTTATTGGCTGTGTGCGAACGTCTGCCCTAACCCCTAAATCCCTCAGTCACTACGTATATACAGCAGAGACTATATAGTGAACTCAATAAACTGACCGTTCCGACAGTGGAACACTATTTTCACTATTTTCTCTCCCCGTTGGTCACCGTTGACCGGGCACCATCTTTGTCATTTGTCGCCGGTGTCTCTACCCGACAGTGGGCCTCTGTCACAATAAAAACCCCATGATGCTTTGCAAAGGGAGCTCTCTCAAAGCATTCCGGGATATTTGTGCTTGTTTAAGACCATGGATGATCACTACTTTGCATTGTGGGAAATTTCGAGTCCACTACTTTCTCATCCACTAGACGTTCAGACACTCATTTAAAATTGCGCAAACACTATATAGTGCCCTATATAGGGATTAGGGCGGATGTTCGGAAGCAGCCTTTATCTGTTTCTGCCTAAGGTGGTGTCAGTTTTTATTGTGATATTTTCCCTTATGATCTGTTTTATCTAGCTCACTATTAAAAACACCTTGGTACTACATGATGCTACCACTACAGTACTTTACAGTTGAGACCTGTAACCTATTTTTTTCTGCCAAATGTAATTACTTCTATATTAATCTAAGAATTATTACACAAACCGCTGTGTCTATAACTAAATCATTCGTCTAGGTGTGTGGATTTTCAAACTGTAATCTGGCTTTTAATGTTTCTTTTTGACCGGATGGCTTATTCCTTGAGTGGTGTTTTAAACAATATGTGTGCAGGACCAGTTTTAAAGTAGTTATCAGCTTCTTACCAGCTTCAGCCAACAAGCATCTCCTTTAGCTTTGGTTGTGATGGACAAGCTTTTTGTAGATTTATGACCTGCAGCTCTTGATGAAGTCGGTACCTCTTGAGTAGATTTTCTGCTAGGCTTTTCTTCCAAGTATAGTTGGTATTTGTAGATCCACTTTGAAGCTTTTGTGCTAGCTGAGAAGCATTTACATAAAGTGAAAAGCAAAGTGGGGAGAGAATACACCCCTGGGCGGCGCCAGTACAGAAAGTCATTGTGCAGGAGAAGACAGGCACCTTTTTCTGTGAGGGAGTTTATGGTGTTGAGGGCCTAATGGAAGTTCCTAAAGAGGATCATGGTATAGGCCCCTGGGTGCTTGAAGTGGTTAAAAATGAAGTGTAATCCCAGTTTGACCTGTTTGCCCAGTAAGCTAACTGCAGGTGGTCTATAAGGGCATCTGTATCATCCCTAAAAAGCTTCAACTCCTGTAACTGAGAAGATTTCAGGACCACAGACTTCAGGTTAACAGGTCATTTGTCACTGATCTCTGTCATGGTTCATTTCTTGGTAATGCTGGTGAAGAGTTTAAAGCACAAGGGAATCTCAAACATCTCCTTGCTCATTATCTGAGTGGAGATGAGGGCAAGTTGGTGAGCGGAAAATCTCCAGCAAAGGGGGAAATGCCATCAGGTTCTGGAGCTTTTATGGTTGTCTGATGCTGGAAGACCGTATTTACATCTTCCTCAGAAACAGTTAGTTCAAGTAGGGGGTCAGAGATAGGTGGTTACTTGAATCTAGGTTTATACTTGCTGCATTGAACAGGACATGCGAGTGCGCGTCAAAAGTGACGCAGCAGCGCAAACCCAGAGTGCAGACCACGTGTGCTGTCTCAGTGCTAGGTCATGCACCTCCCAATTTCTGTAGATGAAATATACTCGTGCATTGGGTTGCTGCACTGGTCTGTGCCCACTGTTCGCGTTGGCACAGACCATCTAGAAAAAGATGGTAGAATAAAATGGTAGGTTTACCTGCTGCACACAGAGATATCTAATTATAGGGAAGGCAACCTACCTGTGAAGACCAAATGGATCTCTTTTTTAAATAACACTTATAAAAAAATATTCTTTTACCAAATGAAAGCTCAATAAATGACATACTGTGGGTAGTTGTTTCAGCCTTCTTTTTTACTGTAGGTGATGAAAAGAGAAACCTAAATCTTTGTTTGTTACCACTCACATGGCTGATAAACTCACCCCTGAAACTATGCCAGTACTTTGTGTATGCTGTTATCAGTCACTGAATACGCAATAACAACACAGCCATTAACAAGGCTGTGCCACCTGAACCTTCTGGGCTGTTGGCAGTACAGGCAAACATGGGTCAACACCAAGTTACAAAAATTGAGAGGTGTGTGACCTAGCGCCACGGCTCCACACGCGGTCTGCAATCGGGACGAGGGTGACATGATGCCCTCACTTTTGACACGCAAACTGTCGCTTTCAATGCAGCAAGTATACACCAAGCATTAGGGGGAGCATTTGTGTCAGTGAGATGTGGACAAGAGAAGATTTAAAGGGTTTAAAGCTGCAGTTAAGGCTGTTTGAACAAGGTATCTAGTAAAAAGTAACTCAGTTACTGCTCAAAGTAACTAAAGAAATCTTTAGAAACACTCAGATTTATTGATACTATGTCTTATCTACTAGTCTTTCAGTCTAAAACATGTCCTGTTTCAATAAAAAAGGGTTTCTTCAAAACCAGCCATCAGTCTGGTTGTTTGGAAGAAAAGGTTTTAGTCTTCATCGTTGTAAAATTGAAGCTCTCTTTCTCTCCTAACAGAACGAAGGATGGCAGTGAATTTTTGTTTCATGCAAAGGATGAGGTGAGACTTTTTGTTCAGTGTTCCCTGTATTCCCATATTTGAATCCAAACAGCTGACTTCGGCCATTTTCTTTCTCATTAGGAGGACCTCAAAGCATGGGTGAACAACATCACCGCCAGTATTTCAGAGCACGAGGAGATTGCCAAATGGGGTCAGCCCCAACCAACTACCTCATCCACAGACGAAGGGACACGGCGAGACGGCAGCAAAGTGGACAACAGGTCGGATAGAGGCGGCGAGCGCTCCGATCGTGGAGACCGGATAGAGCGGGCGGACAAGGAAAAGGAAAGGGAAAAGGAGAAAGAGAAGGAGAGGGAGAGAGGAGAGCGGTCGGAGAAATCAGAACGGGCGGGAAAGTCGGACGGAAAACGCTCCGAGAAGTCAAGCAAGAAGAAATGAACAAAGCAGCAGATCTTTTGGGATTAAAACCTATGAACCCTGAATGGTCAGGAGGCGGGGCCACAGACAGCAGGTGGAGGCCCCTCCTCTTCACTCCGACACTCTCCGCTGTGTTTGGATGGAGAGCTAAGACTGACCCCGGCTCACTTAGATGACGGACAGGAAGGATTTCACTTGGGAGCAGGAGAGGTCTCCCCCCTCCCCACACGAATCTCTTCTGGACCAGGCACGGTCACTGACGCCCCCGGTGGCTGTCACAGAGAACTGCAAATGGCTGAATTTTTCTAATATAAAGGATACACAAGCATCACTTTAATTCAAAGGCTGTTACTGATCGCTGGCAGCGCGGTAAAACGTAGCGCATATTGTTCCATGTTGGTTTTCTTTTGTATGAGATGAGCTGTATCGGTACGTGATTCCTCTGTCTGTCCTATCTACTGTATTATCTGTCTGTCTGTAAGTGGAGAAATGACCCACTATCTCTTATCAATACTCAGAAATCTGGAAAGAAGGAAATTATGCCAAAATGTGGAATTGTTTTACCCTTTTTTTATGCATTTGTTTATTTTTTTGTGAAATTCACTTGTTTTTTTTGTTTTTTTTTTTATTATTACTTAAAGCCCCTTTGATAAAGAAGCACCTGAACTGCTCAGTTGAGATTTTTAAAGTGGCTGATGGCTCAAGAAAAGAAAAGAGCAGAAGAGAAATTAAGGGCAGCACCGTCGTTACTGTTGGCGTATTTGGTTAGGATCACATTAGATATAAAAACTTCAGGTAAAGTTTGGATCCCAGTTCGGTTTATACCACTTATTACAGTTTTTTTTTCAGTTTTTCACTTCCTTCACAAAACACTGCAAATATGATTGTAATCATAAGGGGATAATTCCCCACCTGCTGCTCTGAACCACCAGTCAGAACGTTTCAGTGGGATAAGGTTTGATAATTGTGGTGATAGGATTGAAAGGATTGGTATGAGCAGTCAGTATTAAGATGTAAAAGACATTTATTAAGATGACCAAGACATTTATTTCTACTGATAACATACAGAATAACTTAGTCAGCGAGATGAATTAATTCAAGAGTTCCTCCAATGATGTTAAAGTTAGCATCTAATTCATGTTTCTAATTGGCTTCTGAATAAAGGGCTATTTCTCTAATTATAAGATCTAGAATACTTAATTTAGCTGTAGTTCAAAATGTAAAGTAAGTAGATATCTAACTGCCTTCTATTTACATGGCAAATAAGGCTCTGACATAATTATTTTACTCAGTATTTTAGCACACATAAGCTCATTTCTAACTAAAGCATGACATGGTGCAGAAAAGCCTTTGGTTTAGCCTTTAAACTTAGAGGCACCAAAGTTGCATCAAATAAATAAACTGGCTGATGTGAGCAAACTTTGAATGAGCCATTTAAAAACCTAAAATACGGGGAGGAGACAAAACTTTGCATCGTCCTCTCTGAGCTTATCCCACTAAGATATACTCTTCAGCTCTAAGTTCTGTCCTCACTGGAAAAACGATCTAGTAATAAGTAAAAATTTGTTAAATTAAGTGTATTTACCCTTAATGTGAGTAAGTAAATGAGATATTTTGCCAGTGGCATGAGTATTTTTACTCTTAAAATAAGATATTT